TGTCCAAAGGCAGAAAAATTGTTTAATCAAAATGAAAATTCTGTCAAATCTGTATGACTTTTCATTTCTTCCGTGAAACACAAAAGGTGAATGGTTTAAGAATTTTCAGGCCATAATAACTTACATTTTGGTCTGTTTGTCTGTCAAATTAAACTATTTTTATGATAGTCCTCAATTAATTTTATCACTGTAGTGTATATTAAACGGATGGTCAGCAGATTCATTTAAAACTCACCTTTTGTGTTCGGCGTAAACAAGAAGTGTAGCAAATAAGTCACAACTAATATGATACACTAGACCCGGAGCCCACACTAATGTAACCTCACCTGTATAATCGGCTGAGTGATAAAGGGGTTGAGATGGGGCATAAGTTTGCAGTAGACGTCAGCAATGTTTAAGTGCTGAGCGACAACAGTGATGAAACCCACGGCTCCGTAGCGGATCCACAGATTGGGATGACACAAGAAAGGTGCTGTGGGATAGTAACATTTTAAATAAGAAATGATATACAATAATTACGAAGCACATTATACAATGGACTATGAATGAAGAGAGTTTTTCTGACCAATATCACTGACGAACTCGTAGATGTGAGGTTTCTGCAGTAGCCCCAGCTGACACATGCAAGTGAGAGCGTTGAGAGCTTTATAAATGACAAACTCCTCAGCGTCACTCAGGCCTTGCTGCAGAAGAGGCTTCAGGATGGAGGAACTCTGCCAGCCCACATAGGCTGCTACACCTGCAGAGAGGAGATTTGGTTACCATGTTGCGAGAGACTGCCTTCATATGAAGCGACTGTGCTGTGGTGGCAACTTTCCTACTATGCTGTCAAAGAAAGCTTCACGGAGGTGCCAGTCATTCTTGTCGTTGAGGAAGGTGATCATGTGGGAGAGGAGGACATCGTTGGCTTTCTGTCTGCCGAAGAACACGCAGAGGCGCGTGATGCCGTTCTCCATCAACGTCTGTTTGACGATGTTCTCAGGGTCGCTCAGTAAAGTCACCACCTTCTGCTGAACCATCTCATGCAAGGCCTGCAGCTCTTTGGACAATAGATGGATCATATCCACAGCGTTTTAATGATAGCATAAAAATCTTTTCATGCAAACTGCTTATTAATTGAGTCCATAAAGTGGGATCTATATAGACAATATCAATTAACCTTGTTTCAAAACTACCATAAAAGTGAGCTTTAATTGAAGGACAAACATTTACCTGAATCATAGTTTTCATTGGGGTGAAGAGTTTCTTCTGTGTCCTCTCCATTGAGGTCTTGTTCAGAGCTCAAATTATTCTCCTGCACCAGCTCCAGAAAACGCAGTGCTGTCTCAGCCAAATGAGCTATGTTCTCTATAAATATAATATAATAATATAACATACACTACTGTTCAATAGTTTAGAGTCTGTAAGATCTTTTAAATGTTTTTGAAATAAGTCTCTTATGCTCACCAAGGCTGCATTTATTTGATCAAAAACACAGTAAAACATTAATATTGTGAAATATAAATCAAAATAACTCTTTTTCTATTTTAATATATTTTGAAATGTAATTTATTCTTGAGATGGCAAAACTAGTTTGCAGCAGCCATTACTCCAGCTTTAAGTGTCACATGATCCTTCAGATATCATTATAATAGTACATTTTGTTTCAGAATTCTTTGATGAATAGAAAGTTAAAAAGAAAAGCATTTATTTTAAATATTTGCTTTTGTAACATTATAAAAATCTTTACTGTTACTTTTGTTAAATGTAATGCATCCTTGCAGAATAAAAGTATAAATTTCTTAAAAAATAACTCTTACTGACCCCAAACTTTTGAACAATAATATAATGTAATATACTATTTAAGTTAATATGAAACCTCTTTCATAATCCATTGTACTTCTGTAACCTTAAATATTTCCAATTGAAATATATATATTTTTTTCATTTAAAACTAGAAACTTAATGGATTGTGAAAACTATTACAGTTACACATTTAAAAGGCAGACAATTTAGACAATTTTCTCCAGAGATTTCTAGCACTAGAATACCTGCATAAGCAAGTCTGACAATCGTTGCTTCATCTTGGGCCAAGTGGGCAATCCCAGGTAAAATGTATTCTGGGTAGATATTAACATCATTGCGAGGAACCTCCTTAACCAGCGCCAGCACTTTAGTCAAAGTGCGAACGGCCTCGGCCCTGACGCGCGGCATCGAGTCATTGCAGAAATGCAGCAAATATGGTGTGATCCTGTCCAGCAGAATCGCCACATTTAGCCGGCCTGCCAGATGAAGGATCAGTTCCAGAGCTGCCAGTTTGGAGTCGCAAAAGCGCAGCGTCTGCAGACAGGATGTAATCACTGACACCAGCACCACCAGCCCTTGCTCCTTGGATGAACTAAGCTCCTGAGATGCCTTCTCCTGCTTTCCAGTCTGCCCGCCACTGCACAGGTTATTGAGGATGTTCTCCAGGTTCTTACGTATCACCAACACCCTTTCGTCAGCAGACTGGAAGGTCTCCTTGGCAAACTGGGCCATGTAGGGCTGAAGGAAGGTGTAGAAGATTTCTGGGAAAGCTTTGCCTCGCTGCTGCTTCAGGTATTCTTCAGCCGCCAGGCGCTTTTCCGGTTCTCGCTGCACCATTTGTGCCACCTGCATAAAGTGGATGAAATTATTTAGAGTACTACGTAATATCTAATTAAGAGTACTGACTAGTATCATATATTATTTATTAATTATTGTAGAGTCAGTAAGATTTTGTTTGATAGAAATAACACATTCAAATAACACTGAAAAGATGCATTAAATTGATCAAAAGTGACATTAAAGACTATTTCAAATAAATGCTGTCCTATTCATCAAAGAATCCTGGAAAAATAATTGATCATGGTTTCCACAAAAATATTAAGCAGCACAACTGCTTTCAGCATTGATGATAATAATAAGAAATGTTCTTAAGCACCAAATCAGAATATTAGATTGATTTCTGAAGGATCTTGTGACACTGAAGACTGAGTAATAATGCTGAAAATTCAGCTTAACCATCACAGAAATAAATTGCATTTTAGAATATATTAAAATAGAAAACAGTCATTTTAAGTTGTCATAATATTTCACAACAATATTACTCTTTTACTGTATTTTTGATCAAATAAATGCAGCCATGGTGAGCATAAATGCCTTATTTAAAAAACATTTAAAAATAGCACCTCCAAAATGGTAGTGTATAAGTTTGTAGAACCTAAAGTTAAAACGTGAAATAATACAAAATATCTAAAATCTCAAAAGAATAGAAATTCTACCAGGTCTCTAATACTGTGATCCTCAATTTTCATCAGCACTTGTTCAGTCTGGAAATGTCCTTTACGGTAAGCCAGCAGTTGTGAGAGGTCGAAGAGCGGGACGCCCTCTGTGAACAATTCTGCAATCACACAACCTAACAAAAGAAAATGAAACAAGAAAGGTCTTTGAAAAATATTTCATAATATTATACTGCACCCGCTTTAAGCAAACAGAAAAAAATATATAATGGATACCAGCTGAGAAGATGTCCATGGGTTGCTTGAGTTCTCCCCTGGTCCGTTGGCTATTGCTGGAGAGATCCACAAGCGGTGTTGTCTGGTCACTTTCGGTGGCAAACATACTGCCATCCACGAATCTCTCCGGAGCAATGTAGCACGTTCTCCTCCTGGACGTGTCGAAGAAGTAGTTGAAATCTGCAGGGTTGTCTTCAGGCAAGTATGTGGGTTTAAAACTAGCAAAGTCTGTGAGAAGCACCCAGTTCCAGCTTGTCACCATAACATTCTCTGTTTTAATGTCACCATGACGCACACCAGATTTATGGGCCTGGTCCACGGCATTGAGGATCTGGAAGGCAATCCACTTCTTCTCCACGTTGTTGAGAAACGGCCGTGTACTGATACGGTCATACAAGTTATCCCGGACATATTGCCGAAATAGTATGGCTGCTTTCTCAGTAAGTGTGGCTTTTTGAAAAGGCAGACAGTTCTGACAGGAGTGCAGTCTGATTTTCAGCTCCTCCAGTTCTTGCTTGTAGCTGGTCAGGGGCAGAGAGGGGTCCTGGATTGCAAAGACCTTAACCACAACCAATCCTTCTCTATGTTTCGCCCGGGCCACTTTGAAAAAACGCGTACTGCCCAGACTTTTGTCATATTCATAATCATGGATGTCAGAGAAATAACTGTCCACTGAAAGTATCTGCGATGGAGCGATTCCAGCCAGCTGGTTCCCCATCTCACTGGATCAGAGATGGTTGGCCCAAAAGACAAATCTATAGATAGATAGATAGATAGATAGATAGATAGATATGCAGTTTATTACAAAAATCTACTTTCTCTTAAAATGATTACTAATAATTATCTGCAACTAGAGTAAATAAATACATGAAACGTTTTGTCATAAATCCAGTATAAGTTACAGTCTTTTCACATCAAAGTGTCATGGGATATGATTATGAAATGCTGCATCATATCTGTTAGCAATACTAGCTAGAAAAATAACTCAAATAGTTACATTATTGTCATTTTCTATCCATATAAACTACCAGTTATAACGTAATATGTCAAATACGTGTGCGTATAGTGTTTGTTTACAGCACTGATGTAAAAATAAACGGTTGTTTACCTGATTGTTTGAGCCCCGGCGCGCTGTCAACTAACCGACTGGTTAACTAGAGATATTTTCTTCCACCTTACACAAATTGACATTCTACATTTTGCCTAAGTTAAAACGAACAATACTAGCAGAAATGTCAAATAATACAAACGATACTTTATACAGATATTTACAAAAAAGAGCCGCTTCGTTTGTTATGTCTCAGGAGTGAACTAGAGGTGTGCGTCTCCAATGGCTGATCTGAGATCTGTTTGTCAGCTCATTAGCGACACGCTATTGGATGAAAAGCCTGTCTTGACTGATCTCAGATCAGCCGGCAAACCGGAAACCGGAAGATATCATTCAGGATTTTCGGACTTTAGTTGTAGAGTCATTTCAATGCGTCGGAGGCATTACTGAGTCTGACTTCACTAGTTTATTTGTATGCTTTTGACTTTGTTGCAACACGTATTCTCCCTCTAAAAATATATTTTCTTTTTGACGTTATGGCGCTGCTCAGAGGACTGGCCTTGTTAAATAGAGTAACTCCAAACAAGTGTTTCACACCAGCACGAGTAAGAATTTTATTTAGTTGTGCATGCATTAAATTGTAATTTAGTTTCAAAATCTCATAAGCTGCAGCCAAGACAAAGTCATTTGTATCTGGAACTTTTAGTTTTATAAATTATAAGTTTTTAAATCTCATTTTAGTAGATTAAAATTGAAATAGCTTGTGCAGTAAAATGAAACTCAGTAAACTCTTTCAATTGATGTACACTGAATGTAAAAATCATGCCTTTCATACATGATTAAGGCTACATTTGAGACATGTTGCATTAATTATAATGTATATTTCCTTAAATGCATAGCTTAAGCAGTAAGTACTTTATACTTTCATTGTCCTTATGACCTTTCACCCAGTTTTTTATTTATACTAGCTGCTATTCCTGTCTGAATAAATAAAATTACCCTCTTTGCATCCTTTAACAGTTGTTTGGAAATGGGACAAACACTTTATTCCAGAGCGGTCCTCAAGCTAGATTCTTCCCACCTTCTGAAGGTGTTATGCTTCTCCCAGGAACTTTCAAAAACAAAGTGGCCTTTATCACTGGAGGAGGAACGGGACTTGGAAAAGCCATGACCGCTGCTCTGTCTTCACTGGGAGCAGAATGCGTGATAGCCAGCAGGTTAGGTATCCCTCTCATTTGATCATCAAAAAAGTATTAAGCACCACAACTGTTTCCAACATTGATAATAGTAAGAAATGTTTCTTGAGCAGCACATTATTTTTTTTCTTGAAATACACCTCTGGTGCAACTCAGACACATCATCAGTGATGTATCCTGGGTTCATTGGGTGTTTCGGGTCTCACAACATCATACACCCTCGCCCAGGCGACCCAGCCAGGGTTGATCAGACCCTAGTAGCTTGTAAGATCCACGGATCGCCCCGCTTGATCCATAGCCATCTTGACGCCTTTTCGGCGGCGTCCGTGATGTTCTTGACGGCTTTCCTGATGTGCAGTCCCTCCACTCCAAGCATCTTGAGGGCCCTAATCAGTGACTGGCCGACGAATCCTTCGCACCCAACCTCGATGGGATTACATCGGGTCCTCCACCCCCTGCTTCGGCATTCGCCTGCCAGCTCCTCATACTTGGTCCTCTTCCTCTCAAAAGCCTCCTGCACCCGGTCCTCCCAGGGAACAGTCAACTCCAGCAGGACCACTTGCCTTGTTATTTCTGAAACCAGGTCAATATCTGGCCTGAGTGTGGTCACTGCGATGTTTTCTGGGAATGTGAGCTGTTTCCCAAGGTCGACCTTCAGCTGCTAGTCCTGTACTGTTGCCAGCAGCCCCCCTGATTGCTTCAGGCGCTGGTGTGGCTTCTCCCCAGCTTTAAAAAAGCCGATGTTCTGCCTTGCTGGCTGCTGGTATCTACTGCATGCGATCCCAGTGCTGATAACCTCTGCAATGACCCTCAGTACTTGGTCGTGGCGCCAACGGTAGCGCCCCTCTCCCAGTGCTTTTGAGCAGCAGCTCAAGATGTGCTCTAATGAACCTCCTCTCTGGCAGAGTGGGCACAGTGGTGTCTCTGCCAGGCCCCAGCGGAAGAGATTGGATGGACTGGGGAGGACATCATAGACAGACTGAACCAGGAATTTAATCCGGTGTGGCTCAGACTTCCACAATTCTGTCCACGATATTTTCCGGTCTGCCGCCTGCTCCCATCGAGTCCATGCTCCCTGTTGCCTCATCCCTACTGACCTACTGCAGCGGACTTCTTCTACCCCAGCTCGGATCTCCTCTTGAATCTGCTGCCTCCTTTCCTTCCCCTGGGCCTTGTTAAAGCGAGGTCTTGGATTGCTCCCGAGTCCTGCCCGTCCAGATGCCACTGCCCCCATCAGCTCACTATGTCGCAGCCGTGATTCAGCCTGATCTACTGCCTCTTGGGCCTTCCACTTCCTGCCGGTTCTGACTTCTATGCCTGCCGCAGAGACCTTGATGTCACTGGAGTCTCTATACAGTAGCACCTCTCTTGATCGGGTTACCATAAACTCTTCCTTCAGACTGCTGAAGGGCAATTTTAGCTTGTTCTTCCTCCCGTACAAGGCGATGTCACTGACGCTTCGTGGTAGGCCTAGCCACTTCCGCAGGGAACTGCTGACTTTCCTCTCAAAGCATTCAACGGTGGTAATTGGCACATCGTAGACCAGCAGTGGCCAGAGCAGTCGGGGCAGGATGCCGTGCTGGTAGATGCAGGCTTTAAATTTACCTGGCAGACCTGACTTGTCCACAGCCGTCAGCCAGATTACCAACTGGTTGGTGGTTGTCTGGAGAGCTGCGGTGTCCTTCAGGGTGCAGTCGTAGATCTTACCCAGACTCTTGACTGGATTTTCTCCGACAGATGGTATCTGGATGTCTCCTAGTGAGAAGCGGAACTGGTCTGTAACCTTCCCTTTCTTTACCACCAGGGACCTGGACTTAGCTGGCTTGAAATCCATCCGAGCCCAGTTGATGAGGTGCTCGAGCCCTTGGAGGATCCATCTGCACCCCGGAACCGATGTTTTGGTCATCGTCAGATCATCCATAAATGCTCTTATGGGGGGCTGCCGTATGCCTGACTTGGTGAGTGGGCCTCTGCACTCTACCTCTGCGGCTTCTACCAGCCTATGAGGGATTGACCCGTAGGCGTTGGCGAGGTCGAGCCAGAGGACTCCCAGATCCCCTTTACCTTCACGTGCCTCACGTAAGAGCTGAGTGACAACTCCTGTATGCTCGATACATCCTGGCATCTTTGGGACTCCCCCTTCTGCACCGAGGTATCGATGTACTTGTTCCTCAGAAGGAACTCCGTCAGGCGTCGGGCAAGAACACTAAAGAAAATTTTGCCCTCAACACTGAGGAGCGAGATGACTCTAACTGTTCGATGGTACTTGAGTTCTCCTCCTTCGGGATCCAGACACCCTCTGCGTGTCGCCACTGTTGCGCCACCTTCCCCCTCCTCCAGATGACCTTGATTAGTTTCCATAACCTCTTCAAGAGTCTGGGGCACCTCTTATAGACGACGTACGGCACTCCACTCGGGCCTGGTGTGGAGCTAGTTCTAGCAGCCTTGACGACTTCTTCAACTTCTTTAAAAGTTGGCTCCCTGATTTCTGAAGGATCATGTGACACTGAAGACTGGAGTAATGCCTGCTGAACATTCAGCTTTGCCATTACATGAATAAATTACATCTTAAAATATATTACAATAGAAACCAGTTATTTTTAAATTGTAATAATATTTCTCACGATCACTGTTTTTACTGTAATTTTGTCTTCTAGTTCCTAAATGATTGTTGACACACCCTGCAAGCAAATCCAAAAGCTTAAATCGTGTTGAATTTGAGTGATTAATCATGTTCAAATAGTCGTGTTAAGTCTCCTGTTGTCACTTCCAGAAATCTTGATGTTTTGAAGAAAACAGCAGAGGAAATCTCACAACAGACAGAAAACAAGGTACCTCTCACATCTAAGCAAACATTGCCATGTTTTTGGTGAAGAACTTGATAAATCTTGATAAAGAGTTTGATAAATGTGTTGATGTTTCAGGTCCATGCCGTCCAGTGTAATGTTAGAGACCCTGCTTCAGTTGAGGCTGCTGTTGACCAGCTTGTCAATGATGTCGGCCTGCCTGATGTAGGTTTAGATCTCCATCTTAACAGCAATGATACAATAGATTCCACACAAAACTCCTTCTGATGCATTGGGATTCTGTTTTTCCAGGTGGTGATAAACAATGCAGCTGGAAACTTCATCTCTCCTTCAGAGAAGCTGTCTCCCAATGCCTGGAGAACCATCACTGACATAGTGTTGAACGGCACTGCCTATGTCACGCTAGACATCGGGAAACGCCTCATCAAAGCTGAGAAAGGTGATTATTATTTTTATAGAGATGTAGCAAAGTAGTTGTAGGGTAATTCAACTTTTAATCATGATAAAAAGATCTGCTTATATTTAGTATGCCAGTGGTTCCCAACCCTGGCCCTGGAGTACAACAAGCACCGCACATTTTTGATGTCTCTCTTATCTGACACATCTAAGGTTTACATCTAAATCTTTACTGACAAGTTTTTTTATTAGGGAGACATTTAAGGGGCCTATTTACACGACACCATTTTCAACTAAAAACGGAAAACTTTTTATGCGTTTTGGCCGTTCATTTTCATGACGACAGGGTTTTGGGGGCCTGCAAATGCAAAGTTTTGAAAACAAGATTCAAACGGCAAGTTTTTGAAAACGATACTGTTATCGTCTCTGTGCAAACTACAAAAACTCGAGTTTGTGAAAAAAACGGTGATGTTATGCACCAACTACTGGTCTGGCAGGGATAATACAGCGTTTCACTGATCCGTGTGAACAGGGAAGTTTTTGACAAAGTTGTCGTCTGTACGTGAAAAATGCAAGAGGAAAACAACGTTTTAGTACATTGTTGTCGTCATGTCGTGTAACCGTACCCTATAATGTGTAGTTCTAGGGGAACTCCAGAGCTGTGTTTGAAATCGCCCCCTATACCCTCATTCACTATTCCCTACATTAATCCACTAATATAGTGAATTCGGACACTGGGGGTGCTTCTCAAATCTTGTTTGTGCATCCTCATTTCCTTTCCTCGCGTCTCAGGCTGCAAGGAAAGAAAATGAAGACGGAGGAATTGAATGAAAACTTTTTTATACATTGGAAGAATACTTGATCACTCGAGCGTCACTGCACAGCGTTATCAGCACCGTTCAAAGGATCTGCCCTTATGTTGTTGAAGTTTGGTTATTACATATAACTAATAATAAAGCAAGATACCCTGTTGAAATATGTGAGATGTGTGGTTTATATAAACTGCAAAGGTAAAGTATAAATTAAAATAATTGTGACTGATGTGAAGGGGGAGGATTTATACGTGCGTCACGTTTAGTCAATAAAACACCTCCGCATAGGATGCACCTGTGCATCCTCGCTCATAACTCCTCTGGAAGCCTCCTCGCTCCTCGATCGCAATTAGAGAATTGAGATGTCCTTCAAGATGGCTGAGCTTGATCGGTTTCCGGGTCATAGGATGGAGGAGAGAGGAGACGAGGGGGGATATTGAGAAGCACCATGAGTGTGTCGGAATGGCTGCTGCTTTTGTATAGTTTGTGCTTGCTGTTTAATAATCATTTGAAACTTGGCAAATTGGCAGCTCCAGTAGTATTGAAAGATTTATGTGAACTCTGTCATGTAAACTAGCATGTTTAAACCTTTATTAAACAATTTAATAATCAAAAAGGAATTTATACCTGTATATGATATTACACTGTACACTTGTTTGGAAAATGAATGTGTAGATGATTCAGCTGCGGGCGCCATCATCTGGTGAGGCGTGGGAATTTATTCTAAACGACCCTCACAGTGCATTATGGGTGTTCTCAGCCATTGAGTGTCAGTTGTACACTCGTTATTGCGGTGCATTATGTGATTGAATGAGTGCACTCGATAATGTCCACTATGGTTTCAGACACCACTATAAATGGCTGTCCCCTCATAGTGTCCTATTTAAGGGTAGGGGGCGATTTCGGACATAGCCCATGACCAGGGTTGGAACCACTGTAGAATGCAATGGTGTTACAAACAGTAGAGCATGGTGCTTGATTCCCAGGGAATGAGTGAACTGATTAAAATGTGCACCTGAATGTCTCTTTGGATAAAAGCTTCTGCCAAATGCATAAATGTATGGTTATTGGTTAGTTGGAGGTGGTTGATTTGGAGTACATAACCACTAGAGGGCAGTAAAAGCAAATAAATCCTACAGACTGCTCAAATCACTGATAATCTGTAGCCTACTATTTATTATTATCTGTGATAACTGACAGCATGTCACAGATTATGTCAATAGAGATAAATAGAGAACTCAGAACATTTCTTAAAGTAACAACAGGTAACTTTTCAGCCTTCATAATATATTTCCAAGTCTCTTATGATGGTACATCGACTTACAATAGGTTGAATGACACGTCTGCCATAGCCTGACGGGGTCTGTAGCGTTTTTAATCGTACTTTTAAACTTCGGGTTTCGGGTAGTAACCGGCGAACAAAGAGAACTACAAAATTCGACTGCTTTACGGCATATACGTCACTTCCACCACCACCCCCACTTCCTTAAAATCGGACTTGCGAGCCAAATGTTATAGTCATGGCCGAAGCAGCACAGAAAAACAAGAAAGCAAAGGTTTTATCGGAGCAAAGCAAAAAGAGAAAAAGAGAAAGTGATCGCGTTAAAGGCAGAACGAGGATCAACATTGCAGAGCTGCCAACTCTCACGCATTGGCCGTGAGACACCCGCTTTTGATTGGTTTCACACGCTCACACGCCACACCCCCGGTTTCTCACGCTAAATTGTCAACCCGGTCGGTCAAATGCCTGAAAGATGAGTTTATCTATAGATCTCTACCTGTTGAGCCACTCGTGATCGACAAGTTATACCGCAAATTAGTTCAAATCTCCCGGAATCTAGAGCGAGCGCGCACGCGAGACAGAGACTGTGCTGCAACGCGCGCGGACGGCAGAGAGAGAAAGCGAGCGAGAGACCTTGCGTGTGCAGGGAGCATCGAACCCCCCATCGAAAAAAGAATGCCTCTCTCTAACCTCTCTAATTCGCTAGAGTAATAGCGAATTATCAATCTGGTAGCTAGTAAACGATATTCTAGTTTTTGATGGTTAGCTATCGCGATAGTATTCTCGTTCTGATTTGAACTTTGCAATCGATGAAATGCCAATAGCAAATGTTTGACCTAAAAAGTGTAGTCTACTCAACATGTACAAAGAAAGGAGGAAGATTATTAATAAAATCATATTTTAGGATACCTAACATGTCTGTGATATTTGTTTATTTGTCTTGCCTCAAGCTATAATGCAAATCGATTTGTAAAATTTGCAGATTCATTTATGGTAGCTTGATATTATAATATTGACGATATATGGTTATTATCAACCACTCAAACATTGCATTGAAGTATCATATAGATTCAGTAAAACGGTAACCAATAGACTAGGCTACTATAATGACGCTGGCTTGTAAACGCGATCATTTGTCGTTATAAAAAAAAAAAAACACATGAAATTATATTCATATGACATGCTGAAATATATGCCACTGTACCTGGGATGAAGACATTTCACACACGCGAGAACACCTGCATGTGACCTCCTCCTACAGTGTTCAGGGCTATCATGGTTGTCAACAAATGCACGTGCATGTAGGATGACAGTTTACGACAGTAGTAGAGGACAATACTGTTTCCCAACTGTAGGGGGAGCCCGAGAGCAAAAAACGACCTGTTGTTACTTTAACTTTTAAAAGGTAGTGTAAAATGATTATTATTATTTAAAGAAATTAATACTTTTATTCAGCAAGGATGCATTTGGTTCATCAAAATTGAAAGTAAAGAAATTTATAACATTAAAAAAGATTTATATTCCAAATAAATGCTGTTCTTTTGAATAAGGATCACGACACTTGTGTAATGGCTGCTGAAAATTCAGCTTTGCCATCACAGGAATAAACTGCATTTTAAAATAGATTAAACAGTTATTACACAATATAACTAGTGTATTGAACGCTGTGCTGTATTTTTTACTGTCATTTTTATTAAAAATGCATCCTTGGTGAGCATAAGACAAACACACAAATTATTAACAAATCTTACTGAACACAATCTTTTTATTGTTCTGCAAGTTACATTGTGGCCAATTCTGTTATACTGTGAGGAATTGAAATGTGGAAAACTTTACAGCATCACATGTTTGTGACTAACTAAGTTGTCCAGATGATCCACGTTTGTCTTCTGCCCGTTGTCTTGATGTTTCTGCAGTAATGAGGTTGCCTGTGGCTTCTTGCAGATCCCATGAACAATGCTTTTTGGAAAGTGGCATAAAAAAAGTTGTCAAAATGTGGGATTTGTTTTGCTAATCAAGCTTTTTTTTGTAATGGGCTAATTTATGTGCATTCATGCCATTTTCTGCTCTCTTTGTTTTCCGTGAAGATAACAGCTTCTGGCTGTGACCAGTAAACTGCAGCATAATTACTCATGTGTAAATTAAGAAATCATTAGTCCTTATAGTACATTTACTATATTTTGCAATGATAAGACCCAAGTGTGTGTGTGTGGGTAAGATGACAACTAGCAAGATAAGATAATTCCATTTCATTGCCTCAGTCATATTTGTGTGTATTTGTTGAATGAGCTGCTCAGATTCAGACATCCAGCTTCTCACCTGATTATTCTGACCTCTTTCTGCTTCCTCGAACACGGTGATTACAGACTGTTCAATAACTCCATTAAGTGCAAAGATATTATGTTGCTGATAACAAGTCTGACCTTCAAGACTTTGTTCATTTTTTTTTGTATTTTCATGTTGATTTAAAACAAAGATTAGATTCTTGATGCACATAGAACTATTTATAAACTGTTCATACTGTTTTATTATCCTCTCATGATGTCACAGGTGATCTGCAGCCTATAGATCTATCTCATTTAAAGCACCAGAAACTGATAATTCTGTTGAATTTATAAAGGTGCTGCTTTTCTGGCCATCACCACAGTCTACGCTGAGAGTGGCTCAGGATTTGTTGTGCCAAGTGCTGCGGCTAAAGCTGGAGTGGAGAAGCTGTGCACGTATGTACTCCGTTAGACATGTTTTTAGGTAATTCACCTTCTGGCAGGCCTTTGAGAATCAGGTCCTCCTGTCAAATGCCTTTCTAATAATCTTCCTGAAGGGCTGCATATGTTATCATAATGAAGGTGCAGTGGCTATGTTTCATTTACATTTTAATTGTAAGATGGGGATCTTGATCCTATCCTCTTAAGGAGTGTTAAATATGCTGGAAATACAATAGAGAGAGGCAGTGGTGTAGTCTAGTTTTTTGTAGTGAGTATACTGTGATATACCAGCCAAACTAACTCAGCCAGTAAAGAGCTACATTTAGCCTTAGATGTTATATGAATATGGTCCCTGAAGCACAGGTTTTATCAGCTGACAATTAAAAGACTTAAACATTATAAGCACAAATAAAAATTTACTTTTTAAAAACGTGTGTGATATTCCTTTAAAATTATGTTTTAATAGATTTGATTATTATTATTTTAAAAAGTACATCTTACTATGCAATTTCTTTCATAATTCCCTCGAGTTACTTTATTTCTCTCTACAAACTTTTATTTTGGTGGGTTGTAAATTAAAGACATTTGAGCTTCTGTGTGTTTTAATAAACTATTATTATTATTATTATTATTATTATTAGGCCTACTTGAAGTATACTCTACTGTGCAATAGTAATAGGCTATATTTCTGTTATATTTTCATCAAGTTATACAAAACTTTGATTTTGACAGGTTGTCATGAAGACTAGTTTGTGAGTGTGTGTATATGATACGAATGAATGACGATAGTTTTATCAAATGAAATGGTAAAATTCTTGTGATGTGACTCTCATAAAAGCTCTGCGATGAAGTTCAAATGTGTGCATGTCCTAGACGCTGAAAACACAACGCGTCACGTGTCACGCGCGCTTCAGTGTGTAGTAGAGCACACATTGAGCGCTCATTCACAGAAACACGCAGAACATGCTTTAATATTCATAGACACTTACTACATATCGAGATTTGATTCATTGTATCAAGGGCCAAATTGTGTGACGTTACGCTTTACAGCTAACTTATAAGTTACATTTGTTGCTGGATTCCGCGATTCGATCCGTGTCGCTGCGCAAACACAGACGTCACGGCGGGCGGGCGGCGGGGTGAATTTATGAATGAAAGTTCTTTCACAAAACGATCTTGTTACGAATCCTCACGCTTTTTAAAGAGGGTATACGGAGATCTTTGACATTTCCTAGTGGGTATACACAGTGCCGCTGCTAGCCATTTTGGTGCCCTAAGCATAATTCCTTTATGATGCCCCCCCGCCCCCCCTAAAAAAAACATTTTCATTTAGTATTTTCATTTAGGGGGGCTAAGCCCCCAATGAGGGTATGATTTATAAAAAAATTAAAAAGCTAAAAAGTAACACTTTAGATTAGGGTCTAATGCTTACTATTAACTAGTTTCATTACCATGCATTGGCATGGTTTTATAATCACTGGGATCCCGAATTTGAGGCAGGTTAGTTAGGGGTGTTCGGGGGAAATTTTGGATTTTTCTGAACTACAGATGTGCATTTTAAGATGTTGTGAAGGCGAAAAAAGAAAAAAAATTCGATAACAACAGCTTTAAAACCATGTCAGTGGGCAGCTGATTATTTTTCTCTCCTCATCAGCATCACACTCTTTTTCTCTTTGTTTTTATCTTGCCCTGTCTCTTCCCCTCCTAAAGTTGGCTTTTTTAATTTACTAAAGGTTACAATTTGTATTTTATTCTCAATATGTACACATTCATTATAAATCCTGTGCCTAACATGATGAAAACGGCTTTGTTCATGTTTCTTGTCCCCTCACAATGACAGTAGCCTAAACTATTACACTAGGCTACATGTTACATAGGCCTATTTTCAGTTAAAAATGGCGAAATTAGACAAAACTATATTAGTTTGCATAATTATTTTTTGTCATTCGTTTAACATTTATGACCTAAAAAAACTGTCAAATAAAGTTGTTTAGCTACTTACATCTTATCTCGCACTTGCCCGTACACATGAAGCGTCGAGTTGCACTGTTAAAATTCGCGCTCAGCGTCTGTGAACATAAAGCCCGCCTACTTTGATTTGATTGGTCATCTCAAATATTCTGACATTGACGAGCAGTGACAGACCAATGAGGCTCAAAAGAACACACACGAACACACACACACCCTGTCCTGTGTTTCTGACGTGCTCTCTGTCTCTGCTCGGCGCCGCTGCGGAATGAAGAGGAAGAACGCGCTGAATCTGATTATAACAAAAAGTTTGATGATTGGTTTTTCATTAGGCTATTTTTGGTGCCCCCTCAGCACTTGGTGCCCTACGCACAGCGCGTGATGCGCGTGGTGGGAGCGGCGGCGTATACACGGAAATCCTTGACATTTTCTAGTGGGTATACGGCGTATACCTGCGTATCACGTAGACTACACCACTGGAGGTGGACAGCACACTACTGTATACCTGATGATTTAGATCAGTAGCTTATTAATAAAATCATCTCTGCTTAAATGTTTAGTTCTATAACAGGATTTACTTCAAATAAAACATTTTTTGTTACTTTTTTTGAAGACTTGAATGAGGAGCTCAATTAAACCAAGCATATCTCATTTCAGGATGATACTGCATAGTATAAGCACCATGACACTTATTTATATATCATGCTTTTTAACAGATATAATCTTGATTCCATAAGAAGCTGTTTGTCTGAATCAATTGACTTGCATTTAATTAAAAAAATAAATCATTAAAAAAAATTGAATGGTGAGACTTTTGTTTTTTGTAATCAGGCTCTCAAAAATTAAATAAAAATTTGGCCAATATTTTGGTTATCGCCTTTCAAATATAAAGAATTATCGGTTATCGGTCAAAATTTTCATCCCAAATTTTCATTTTCATGTGTAAAGGCTGATTGTATCTACCTACAGGTCTCTGGCTGCTGAGTGGGGCAGATACGGCATGAGATTTAACGTTATTCAACCAGGACCAATCAAAACCAAGGTAGTGTGCATGTTTTAAGTTCTTCTTCTCTGAAAATGTTGTCCATCCCTTGGTGTGTAGAGTGAATTTGTGAATGCTTTCTGGTCGGATCTCTTCAATGAAAACCAGTCTGAATGATTTGTTCACAAATCAGACTGATTCAGTTCTCTACACTGTAAATTTTTTTTAGCAATTTAGTTATTTCAACTTTATTTTTTTGTGTAGAGATAACTAGATTGTCCAGACAACAAGAAATTTTACGTTTTCTTGTCCTCAACTTATCGAAATAAGTTAGTTAAACTAAAAAAAAACCATGCAAAAAGATAACACAAAATAATGAGTTAAGTGTTTTTACAGTGCAGTTCAACTCACTGACTCAGTCCAGTTTGGATCATTTTTATCTTTAAAGCTTTAGTTTTTCAAACATTATAATAACTCTCCCAGTATCTTTCTGAAGGGTGCATTTAGCAGACTGGATCCCACTGGCCTGTTTGAGAAGTCGCTAATCGAAAAGATACCCGTGGGTCGTCTGGGCACTCCTGGAGAGATCGCCAACCTTGCCACCTACCTCTGCAGCGACTACGCCAGCTGGGTATCAGGAGCGGTGAGTTCGATGACCTTGCGTGAAAAGTGCTTCGCCTCTCTGGGCAAGAGCTCACCTAGAGTCTTCCCCACAGGGCCTCTCCATTTACAGCCAAACGGAGACAAGGGCACAACCTACACCTCTCTTTGCTTTCACTCTGTGATAGATAGCAGAGGACATTTTGTGAATAATTAGGGGGGGGGGAGTTGGAGTAGTGCTCCAGAGATCAATATGAAATTATATAGTCTGGTGCATACTGTAATGGCTCTACTTATAAAGTTGAGGAGCCCTGACAGGGAAGCTAGTATGTTTTTCACAGTGAAAGACAAATTTCCTGCTTTAACAGCTCCTCTGTCCTTAGATCATTCGAATGGATGGTGGTGAATATGTCTCCATGGCTGGGGAGTTCAATGGTCTGAAGGAGGTGATTTTTTTTTTTTAACTCAATCAATCCGATATTTACAATGGGGAGTTTTCATTACTTTATTTATTATATGTTTACCTTGATTTTATTTGCCAGGTCACAAAGGAGCAATGGGCCATGATGGAATCAATGATCAGAAGCACAAAGGGATCGTAAACCTCTAAAACCACAGAAATTCAGCACTAATGACTCTCATTGTCTAACAGAGGATCAATTGAAATATGGTTTGTAGACTGTATAAATTGAGACTTAAGTTGTCTTGGCACATACAAATATCCATTCTGTGACACATTTATCACCTTGAGGGCTGTAAGGAATTGTTGTTTGGAGTATTAGAGTCATATTGAATTAAAAATGTGTGGATGTTTTCACATTTAAGTTTGGCCTGTCTGCCATTTCTGCCTTAAAAGTCCAATGTAACAATGACATTTACATTCTGTTGGCTGTAAACATGTAGGTTACATATTTAGCCTGCATGCTGCCCCAGTGCCCTTGGATAGGCTACAGCATCACTGCGACTTATACAGAATATTAGATTCCTACAAATATCATTTTTAAAAGAATGCATAAAGTCAACCTAAACTTGATTTAAAAGGTTTGAAATCTTACAACAACTTCCAACTGCCTTATAATGTAATGACTAAGTACAAATTAAAGTTTGGTGTATACTACCTTGTTTCATGCATTGAAATTATTTTAGTCAAAAATAGAATAAATTCTGCATTGTTTCTTAGTTAAATACCAATTAGTGGATAAATAACTAAATAACTGAGGGAAATGCATTTCAGAGCTTTAATTGCTTTGTATTTCTAGAGGGTTTTTTAATCTTTGAAAGTGATTTTTTTTTAAATTAGGTTTCATTGAAATGACCACCGAGGAGTCTCCATATTATTTTTTTAATTCATTTTAGTAGTTCCATATTATATTATATTACTGCTTGTGGTCTTTTTTTGATGGGCTCTTGACAGCACCTGAGAGTGCACTACATAATGTTTTTTTTTTTTTTTTTTAACCTGGTGTGGTACCCTTATGGAAACCTGCATCTTTTCTTGTTGACCTGCCCTTGTTTATAGTACATTATAATGCTTGTGTAATACAGATAATCACATTTAAATCACTGTTCACTGAATGCTATACCTTTATTTTTATATATATACAAACTTTACAAACTAACGTTCAAAAGTTTGAGGTCCGTACGTTTTTAAAATGTTTTTGTAAGACTCTTATGTTCACCAAGGCTGCATTTATTTATTTATTTAAAGCTTTTCTTTTCAGCATTTTTTTTAAATCTAATTTATTCCTTTGACAAAGCTGAATTTTCATCAGCATCATTACTCAGTCTTCAGTGTCACATGATCCTTCAGAAATCATTCTAATATGCTGCTTTGTGCACAAGAAACATTTCTTCTCATCACAGTTGAAAACAGTTGTGCTGCTTACATTTTTTGTGGAAACTGATACTTTTTGTCAGTATTTGATGAATAGAAAGTTAAAAAGATCATTTATTTAAAATAGAAATATTTTGTAACAATGTAAATGCATTTACTGTCTCTTTAATGCATCCTTGCTAAATTAAAATGAATAATTTCTTTAAAGAAACTTATTGACCCGAACTTTTGAAAGGTAGTGTAGTTTATTTAATAAATTATATAATATATGTATTTTTTAAATAGTATTATACATTTTAATAAATATATTTGGATGTAATTAATTTATATTTAAGTTTTAGCCCTCAATGCCTGGGTTTCACAGACAGGGCTTAGATTAAGCCAGGATTAAGCCTTAGTTTAATTAGGGCATTTAAGTAGCTTTTATAAACGTGCCTTAGAAAAAAACATTACTGATGTGCATCTCGAGACAAAACAATGGAACTGACATATTTTAAGATATGTCAATGAAAGTTGCTTTCAGTAAAAACATCTCAAACATGCATTTTAGTCTAAGACTAGCTTAAACCTTGTCTGTGAAACCGGGGGTATATGTCCTCGAAGTCATCAGTGCTAAATATCAGTTAGCCTCAATGTGGCACTTTCAGGGCAGCCTAAATCACTACTGGCAGGGTGATAAAATAGCTCATAAATTGGCATTGAAATTCTGGTATCAAAACAATTTTCCGGCTGCAGCGCTGGAGAGAGAAAGGCATTTCTCTCGAATGGGATTCATCCTTGGTGTTCCAGTCCAAAGGTGTTTAATCGAAAATTCCAACCATAAAATCTTGAGGTGGATATGAGAAAATATGTAAATCAGATGTGTTTTCAATATGCGGCTATCCTAGATGATGTAGTTCAGTCAAGCTATCAAAGCTCCAACTAAACAAAGGTTTAGATTCTGAGTGTTTCTGTTTGTTCACAATGACAGAAGTTTTATGTCTTGCAGTGTCCGCTTTGGGAAGGTCAACTGTTCAATTATAAGATAAGATCGTGATCAGTTTAAACTTTAAATGGAGAGGGGAACTCTACTGAGAATTGTTTTGTGCTTTTGCCAGAACTCCCCAACACCAGCTTTATTTTCATGTACTGTTTCAAACCAGGCATTCAATTTTAGTATGATTTTATTTACTGAACAAACTAACATTTGCATGTTATGAATATGTTGGACCAAACAACACAATGAGCTTCTTGAGATCTTTTTACTCATATTGATCCAAACCTAACTTACTTTCTACTCCGGAACACAAAAGAAAATATATAGAAGAATGTTTTAACTGTTTTTGTCCATATGATGAAATTGAATGGGGTCCAAACAACATTGGACCCCATTGACTTTCATTGTATGGGGAAAAACTTTTCCACAGAAGAAAGGCATACAGGTGAGGGCTTTTATTTCTTCAATGTTAAGCTGATTTCTAGGGACTGAGGGATGTATGACACACAACTGGATACAAGTAGTCATTCAATAAGTTTAATATCTTCTTACACAGTGTCTGTGGTGTTCAGCATAGAGGAGCATGTCATTCTTTACAGTTCAAAATCTAACATTAAAGACAGGTCTGGGGCGATGCATTACGTTCGGCATGTGCTTGCAGTCAAAAATACCCCACTAGCAGGGCCTGCCATCAGCTACAATATAAACATGCATCGCAAAAGTATATTTTGTAGCCTTTTTGAGTTTTACATAGATCCCACCAACAGGCCATGTTTCATCAGCATTCCTTGAGGACATTATTGCTTTTGCCTATGATAGTGTTAGATAAATCAATACTTCTTATATTTGCAGAATAGGTATTGGTGAATATTTTGGATTTTAAAATCATGATGGGAATTTGGTAGCTTTTTGGATTTCCTCGTGTTGAGGGACATGTAGCGTTCATCTATGCAGTGCAGGTTGTATTGTACGTGTGTCATTGTTAAAAAATCTGTACATTTAGAAACAGTATAGAAACAACAAATTGAAAAGTATGTGCCACTGGTTGCCTGTCTATGTGAAATCCATGTTCAAAATGAAAGAACGTAAGAAGGTTCTAGCTACATTACGCATCACAGGTGAGCTGGGGACGGGGTTGTGAGATGAGGCGTTCGGTTCACATCTCCTCTGCGCACAACACCAGCGCCAACTCTGTTCTGTAGAGCTTGCCTCCGTCAGACAGAGCCATGATGGCGCTCTTATACGTCGGGATTTTGTTGACTTCTAGAACCTGTCAAGAGATCAGAAGAGTATGTTCAGTGATTTTATTGTCTGTCAATGTGGCATTAGACATATTCAGTTTTAATGAGGCTGAGAGGCTTTGTTCAGACATGCAGAAAATATATTTATATTTGATTTAACTAAAATGGGGGGAGGGGGTACATTTGAAAAATATTGTAAATTAATTTACTTAATTAAAAAGTAGATTGAAAACATTACAACATTTCTGCGCTGAAGACTGGCGTAATGGCTAATAAAAATGTAAAATATATTAATCTGTAATAATATTTCAATAATATTTCTGTTTTTACTGTATTTTTAATCAAATAAATGCCAAATGAAAAGACTTTCAAAAACATTAAAATGTCTTAATGACTCCAGACTATTGGCAGCAAATACATTTAAAAATGAGTTCACGAGTTATGCACTTGAAATAGAAATCTAAGGGGACAAGAAAAAGTAGTAGTATTATTAGAGTTATTAGCTTTGAGGTCATCTAGATGCTAGTTGACAATATTCACCTTTAAAATGTAGTCTTTCTCTTCCAGGAAAATGGACAAAAAATACTGATGACATACTGCACTACACAGATTTTTATCAAATTAGATGCTCTCTAGAATGAAAAGTCCTCTCCCCCATGTCCACCAGCAACCAACTACCAAGTCGCTAATAGTGGCTCACAGTGATGTAAATAAAGCCTGTTGGCTATTTATTCAAACTTCCTGTTTTAACAGGAAATACATTGGCACGGAAAAGAAAAGCGAACTTCATGGCATCTTCAAACCTTGCGGAATGCTTTGCTCCATCCATCCAGTGCATTTCTATGTGCTATGAAAAGTGGTTATCTTAGAGCTGAACTTATACTGAACCCAAACTATTCCTTTTTTAAATTGAAAGTTGTGTATCACAGTAGTTTTCTCCCTTACATAATGTAAAGTTTCTCTGTCCTGCTCTAAAGTGAAGAATTTGTATGCAACCCACGTGCGGCAGCAGAAGATTAGATTTCTGACTAGTATTATCATTTATGAGTCTGCTTGAAGAAATTTGTTTGTGCCCATCATGGGCTTCAACTGAGAGCCAGAATACATCAACAGATCTCAGAAAATGAAAGCATGAAACCTCAGATTAGCCTGGTTTTTAGATGCGTACCTTGTTGTTTTTCTCACAAAGGTCTTTGAGGAGGGCGTCAAGCTCATTTTCGTCCATGTAACCGTTCCTGTCCTGCGAGAGGCAGCGAGCATAGTGAACATTAACAAGCACAGATGTGTGACAGCCACTGAGGAAACTCAGCGTCATGCCACTTAACCATCATTTCCTGTATTCTCTATTCAGACATTAGGGATGCCTCATGAAATGTTCTCTAGGGAGAGATTGGAAATCGGGGCATTAAGGATCGGTTTTGCACACAGAGTCAATGCAATGACATGCTGAGTCTTGGGGTGCACATTTGGTGCTCTGAAGAAATAATAGCCAGAGAAAGTGGGCCAGTAACTTCCGTTAGAGGGCTTGTAACATTAAACGAAAGCCATTACATATAGTTTTTCAGGAGGACGTTTAAAAGGAAAAGTTCACCCCCAATCTTTTTTATTCACCGTCATGTCTTTCCAAATTTTTTATTTTTTTTAAATATGATATATTTCTTAATTTTTTTTAACATAAAAGTATATATACACTCACCAAAAGGATTATTAGGAACACCTGTTCAATTTCTCATTAATGCAATTATCTAATCAACCAATCACATGGCAGTTGCTTCAATGCATTTAGGGGTGTGGTCCTGGTCAAGACAATCTCCTGAACTCCAAACTGAATGTCAGAATGGGAAAGAAAGGTGATTTAAGCAATTTTGAGCGTGGCATGGTTGTTGGTGCCAGACGGGCCGGTCTGAGTATTTCACAATCTGCTCAGTTACTGGGATTTTCACGCACAACCATTTCCAGGGTTTGCAAAGAATGGTGTGAAAAGGGAAAAACATCCAGTATGCGGCAGTCCTGTGGGCGAAAATGCCTTGTTGATGCTAGAGGTCAGAGGAGAATGGGCCGACTGATTCAAGCTGATAGAAGAGCAACTTTGACTGAAATAACGACTCGTTACAACCGAGGTATGCAGCAAAGCATTTGTGAAGCCACAACACGCACAACCTTGAGGCGGATGGGCTACAACAGCAGAAGACCCCACCGGGTACCACTCATCTCCACTACAAATAGGAAAAAGAGGCTACAATTTGCAAGAGCTAACCAAAATTGGACAGTTGAAGACTGGAAAAATGTTGCCTGGTCTGAGGAGTCTCGGTTTCTGTTGAGACATTCAGATGGTAGAGTCAGAATTTGGCGTAAACAGAATGAGAACATGGATCCATCATGCCTTGTTACCACTGTGCAGGCTGGTGGTGGTGGTGTAATGGTGTGGGGGATGTTTTCTTGGCACACTTTAGGCCCCTTAGTGCCATTTGGGCATCGTTTAAATGCCACGGCCTACCTGAGCATTGTTTCTGACCATGTCCATCCCTTTATGGCCACCATGTACCCATCCTCTGATGGCTACGTCCAGCAGGATAATGCACCATGTCACAAAGCTCGAATCATTTCAAATTGGTTTCTTGAACATGACAATGAGTTCACTGTACTAAAATGGCCCCCACAGTCACCAGATCTCAACCCAATAGAGCATCTTTGGGATGTGGTGCAACGGGAGCTTTTTGCCCCGGATGTGCATCCCACAAATCTCCATCAACTGCAAGATGCTATCCTATCAATATGGGCCAACATTTCTAAAGAATGCTTTCAGCACCTTGTTGAATCAATGCCACGTAGAATTAAGGCAGTTCTGAAGGCGAAAGGGGGTCAAACACAGTATTAGTATGGTGTTCCTAATAATCCTTTAGGTGAGTGTATATAAACATGTACTTCTTTGTAATATTTTGTCAATTATAATATTTATATTTTTTTTTTACATAGTTCTCATAAGTAAAATAAGTTTATTGCAACCTGGGGCTCCAAAGTTGACCAAAAAAATTGTCACATGGACTTATCATATGATTTCAAAAGATTGGAATATAGTGCACACACTTATAGATTTTCATTAAAAGTGTGTGTGTGTGTGTGTGTGTGTACACACATACACCTTTAATAATATATTTTAATAATAATATATAATAATATTTTAAATATAATTTTTTGCCCCTTTGATTCTTTAAAAATTTCAACTTCAGTGTTGTACTGAAAAAACAAAAACAATGTTAATGGTACATTTTTAAGTGCTTTAACTAATGTATCCATATTGCATCAAAAATAAACATCTTTATGACATTATACCATTTTAGGAGGCATCTAAAATTAAATGAAGAATAAGTCAGTCAAATAAGTCCATGTATCTCCATAATTTTCATAATGTGGCCTTTAATCCACTCTTAATGATGAAAGAACAAGCAAGTATGTTGCATTGTCCCAGCGCAAACAGTATGTGGCCGAGTGGCCACATGTCTGCTAAATGCAGACCAGCAGTCGGTGTGTCTGTAATGAAATGCCTCATAGCTTTGAGCATATTCTGCCTCTAATGCCGCATCATTGCACAGTGTTTTCTAATAGCCCAAAAATGGGTATGAGTGCATTTAAGCCAGCCTCTATGTGAGTTCGCAACCTGAACCTGCCAATCAATAAAGATCAAGGGTGCTGTCATCAGCAGTGAGGTATTTGCCCTATTCGGGGACACAGTAATACATTACAATTGAGCCAGGGCCAAAAGCTTCAATGGTTTTGGAGGTGCTATCCAGAAAGAGCACTGTCTTTGCATACTAATGGCTGCTTTCTTCACGCCTTGTACAATAGAAGACACTCTGGCTGATCTATGCATGCTTGGTAATGCAAAAAATCAACCAGTATTAAGTTTAGGCTTGAGTTATTTTAAGGTGGCCAGGCACAGAGTATTTTGATGATTACATCATTTAAATGAATGACTGATCAATACAAGAGACTTACCTGATCATATAACTCAAAAATCTTGTTGAACTCTTTTCTGGCCATTTTTACTCCCTGAAGAAAAGATTTGTAGTTTTAGGTTTTAGGTGGGTATGGGTAAAACCAGAGCATTTATGGGTTAATTACTAATGCAGATTTACCTGAAATTTTAATAGAAAGTTTTCCTGGTCTGGTAACAGCCTGTTTAAAAAAAAAAAAAAAGAGAGAGAGAGACGCCATATTTCCATATTTTTTTTATAGCAAAGTTAATAGCAAATTATAATTATTTATAAGAAATTTGCAAGTTCACTAACCGTGCCATTTCAGACAGACATAGTTTCCCATCTTTATTTGAATCAAACATTTTCAGCTGTAAAAAAATATATATATATATATATTTATTCCCTCAAAATACATATGTAGGCCTATTTAATGAGCGCTGTAGTTCACTTACAGTAGTCAGTGTGTACTCCTCTAATTTCTTCTCATCATATGGTTTTTTAGCCCTCTGCAGCAGATCTTTCAAAAAGTTCTGAAAAACATCAGATTGGATTATTTATACAAGTTTGGTGTCAGTAAAGATTTTTTTCTTCATGAAATTTTATTCAGCAAGTAAGCATTAAATTGATCAAAAGTGACAGTAAACACTTATAATGTTACAAAATAATTTGGTAACGCTTTAGATTACAGCCCGGAATGTACTGTGTAATTAACAGGAATTTACAGCGTAACTTTCTGTAATTATAGTGTACCTATAAAGTACTTGCATGTAAGTATAAGGGAACAATATGTAAAGTTTGGGAAATAAAGGGGTAACAACCAGGAGAATTAAAAAAATATTTATACTGTAAGTATTATAGGTACTTATTCTACTATTATGATACAACAATCTTACATTTGGGAGCAATTTAGCGAGAACATACACTGCATACCTTTTTGTAATAATTGTGTACCAAGGCAATACATACTGTATAGGCTTTTTAAAAATGACAGGGTACATATATAGGCATTTATACAATTCTTTTTTTTTTTTTTGATAGCAAAAGTGCAGATGTTTAAGTTTGGGCTAACATGTTTCAAAGCAAGAAAAGCTAAGACTATTGCAATTTTTTTTAATACTGGGAAATATATCTTGTTTGATGTGGTTACAGGGTAAGTGGTGCTTGTATAATAGGTTATAAAAAGGTATAAAAAAAGGTTTAAAAGTATAAAAGGTTTCCGAGTCAGTGATATAAAACTGTGTATGCATTTTATTGTACTTACCCTGTAACTACATGGAACAAGGGGGTAACAAGCATCACTACATGAAACAAGCATCACTACAACCCAATATTTAAGCAAAACTTGCAATAGTTTTCGTTTTCAGTGCACTTTTGTTAAAAAGATTACTTTATAAATGCATAGATATGTACCCTGTAATTTTTAAAAAGCCTGTAATTTTACAGTATGTACTGGTTCACCACTATTTCAAAAAGGTACGCAGTGTATGTTCTTGCTAAATTGCTCCCAAATGTTAGATTGTTATATCATAATAGTAGAATAAGCACCCTGTAGTTCTTTAATACTTACAGTATAAATAATTGTTTAATTCTTCTGGTTGTTACCCCTTTATTCCCCAAACTTAAAATATTGTTCCCTTATACTTATATTGTAAGTACGTTATAGGTACACTATAATTACCGAAGGTTATGCTGTTAAATCGCTTTAATTACGCAGTACTTTCAGATAGAGACTATCTATCTTTCAGATAGAGACAGATAGTACTTTCAGTACTGTAATCTAAAGCGTTACCAATAATTTTAGTTTCAAATTCATGTTCTTTTGAACTAATTTACTATTCACAAGCTTTACTGTCAATTTCACAAATGCAGCCTTGAGCATAAGAGACTGGATTTTTACGAAAGTAAAAATTCCATTCATTTTCTTTGTGGGGGAATTGATTTTGTTAATCAAAAGTATATGCTTTTGTTGAAACCATCAGCCTGCGATTTTTCAACTTATTTTCAAAATACTAATGTTCAGCAGCAGAACCCCTGGTATAAAAACTACAGTTGGTTGTAGTACTTGTAGTTGGTTGGTATATTTCATGTCTTATAGGCCTTATGTAGCCCCGCCCCTTTTCAGCACTGCGCTTGTTGTCTTTTGTCTTCCGGTTTGTATTTCCACAGTGATCTTACGTATTTATCTGCCCGTTTTAAAATCTTCCCGGTCTACTGACATATGTTAAAACATTTGCTTTAAACATTACAATGCTCGTGATAACTTTCGTTATCTCAACAATAAATAAATCCATTTCACCAGATAAATCCAAATCCACTAATTACTCTTCGACAGCAATGGCATAGAAATATAGAGCTACCGCTAAAACTGAAGTTCAGAGACACTATTCTAAAGATGGCTGCGCCCTTGTTTCTCTGGCGCATAAGGTCTATAACTCTTGAACAGACTTAAAAATAAAAACAAACTTATAGGGAAAAATGAATGGAAAAAATTCTTTGTAACCAAGTCTTCTTGGGCACTGTTGCACTACTATGGAATATAACCAATTTTGACCAACCAGCATCAAGGGCCAGAACTATCCATTTTATGTTTTGTATAGTGGTGCTGTCTCCAAAATGCAACATTCATATTTCACAGAGCTCTCAGCATTTCCATTTCCTGCCCGAGGTCCATTAGTGGGTCCAAAAGCGGTCCAGTGTTAACAGATTGCACTCATCAAATCACTGACTGCAAATCTGGCAGATGTTCAAAGAAACCATTCCCCATTTTAATTTTAAATGCCAAAATCCTCACTGCTTGCTTTAAACAAGCCCCTTTGAGGGTTGCATATGGTTATTAATGTTGATCTGGAAATGAAATCTTTTGTTCCGTTTGTTGTTGTACCCATGCTGGAGAAAGACCTAGATTGACTTCTTAAGAGGGAAACTCCAATGTGGGTAATCCCATATGGCTATGACCTCATGAATCTGTCTCTTACATTTTAAGAAGGTGCAAGTTGCCTTCTGAGATGATTTGCATCTTAAGGTCAGTTATATGTTGTTTATAGGTTTACACTTTGGTTGTCCTAACTGACAAGATTGTGAAGAGATACTAGGGTGGAATTGTACGTTAAGTTAAGTATGCTGGTCAGCAAGTTTGTGTGCCAAGTGTCAACTATCTGCCAAAACTAAAATATATTAACCCTCATGGCCAGTTTACTAGCCCAAATAACAAACTTTTAAGCAACTGGTTGATATGATTTTTTTCTAAGCATATGAGCAGATTATAATGAATAGCCGCAATACATTTTACCTATTGTGACCGCAGTACACTCATGCTTATTTGGATTTGTTTTATTGTGTTTTTCTACAATGTGTTTTTGCTCAGACAGAACCAGAAATGTTACTACTGGATAACAGTCACTTTTTTTAAAGTGGGTTAAAGCTGTAAGGGTGTCCTGGTTAGGTCAGAGCAACATATATTTTAGATGGAAAATAATAGTTTCAAGATTAAACTGAACATGGTTAAATTAATCAACAGAGATGATTGCTCACTGAGCACATATCATTTGAGTGGTTAAAGGTTTGCTTCTCACCTTAAGTTCATCAGATTCTATGTATCCACTGTGATCAGCATCATAATTTCTCCAGGCCTGTAAGAGAAATTAATAACATGGATGTGTTACAGAAATCTGCAGCTTCAGTGTTTACATTTAAATTGCCAGTTTTTTTAAAAGACATAACATTTACACTACAGTTCAAAAGTTTGGGGTCAGTAAGATTTTGTAATAAGCCTCTTATATGCTAACCAAAGCTTATAATATAGTTAAAAAAAGTAATATTGTGAAAATGTCACACTTGGTTGCAGAGAGTCGCACGAATACAAGGAAAAACAAAAACTTTCTTTTTGGACAAAAAGCAGAAACTACAAGAGAACACGTACTGTAGGAGATAACAATGAAATAACCGAACAATGAACCGAATTAACCGAGCGCTTAAATACAGACAAGCAAGGAAACTAATGATTACTATGAACTAAGAACACAGGAAACAACAGAAAACGAAACCAAAACAGACTAGCTATACACATTACAGAAATATTTTTACAATTTAATTTAAAACCTTATTAATTTCTCTGATGGTGCTATGGTGCTTAAGAAATATTTCTTATTATTACCAATATTGACAACAGTTTTTGTGGAAACTTTAAATAAAAAAAAATAAAAAGAGCATTTTTATAGAAATATTTTGTAGCATTATAAATGTATTTACTGGCACTTTTGGTCAATTGAATGCATCCTTGCTGAATAAAAATATGAATTCCTTTAAAAAAGCCTTACTGACCCCAAACTTTTGAATGGTAGTGTAGTTTACCTAAATATATTCCTCTGTATATTTTTAAAAAGCGCTAACTGTACTTCAAGACATGCAATGGTATTATCTATTCAAATTGTGTATATTTTAGAATCACCTCCATAAATTCTGCACAAGACTTCAGCTGTTGTCTGAAAAATAGCAAGAAGTTTTCCTCTGTGGGAAGTATTTGAACCAGCTGTGAAAGACGTAAAGAAAAAGTTTCTGATTAATGTAATGTGCATAAATTCCTAGGGAAAGACTAGTTGACAGTGTCATCTATGAAGGAAAAGGAATGTCAGTTTATGAAGTGTCAAAGGCTGCTGGATCAGAGATAACGTCTCCAGAGAGCCGCTGACAGCTGCACTGATTGCTGTAAATCCACACGCTTTCACCGTTTTGAACAGGTTACAGATTTGACAATGTGAACAAACAATTCTGTTTTTACAAATGATGTTTTGATGGTCAAATGTGGCTCACAGTACTTGGATGAAAGCATAATATAAACGAACAAACATTTTTGTTCTCCGGTAAATCAACACAGAGCAACGTTAAGCTCATGTAGTTTACTGCAGTGTCAACATGACAAACCTTTCTCGTTTCTTTGGAGCCTAAACATCACAGTCTGTGTCTGACAAACAATATTGCTGGCGCCAGATATTTAAACAGTCAAAAATTTTTAAAAAAGTATATTATTGTAATACCATAGCATATGTTTTTAGTTTCCTTACCTCAATGATACCTATTTTCCCATCAGCATTTTGCTCATATTTCTCTATAAAGGCCTTCATTTTCTCTGTTAGTTCCTGGAAAGAAAATGACAATTCAACAAGCAGGCATCCTAAAGAATAATTTCTGTTACATTCTAACAAAAACTATAGTTTGCTGCAGACTTCAGTGGTTACAATCAAGCTTCCGGCTGATACAATCCATTTCTTCTGCCTTCTAAAAGCCATTGATGTGTAAGAACAAATACACACAGACAGATGGGATGTGCGGCTATCTTCAGCCCTCATTGCACAATGCTGATTGTGTTTTCATACTGATTTTGATACAGACGAGCGGAGTTCTCATTCCTCAAAAAAGCCGGCCCATCTTGGCATAGGATGGAGAGCGGTGACTGTGCAAAAATCAGTAAAATAATGTGAAACACTTTAGTTCATTCACATTATGAGGTAATGGTTTTGATAAAAGTTAGGCCCCGCAGACTCGTTTGTTCCATCCTTATGATATGCCAATAAAATGCAACCCACCAAGTTATTTTTAACTTTTGCCTGTTTACCAAGAGTTATTATTTACAACAGATTCAGTGAGAATCAATAGGGCTGAGACAAATGAAAGCATATCCTCAAGCAGGCATTTCTGAAAGGGCATTGCACTGGTGTACTGCAGACTTTTAAATTAAGTGTATATTAAAATAAAATGTTCCTACTGATGTAGGTCTTTTAAAAAAATAGATATGTATACTTAAATAAATTTGTGTATACAATAGTGGCCAAAACTGATGTCCAGCCAAAGAAAATTGACATCTTCAACCTTTATTTAAATATCATTTTAAATTTGTTAGATTTTGCAAGAATATTGCGTAGTTGTGCTTGGAGTCCGTTTTATTTGTTAATTCAATGACACATGCCAAACTGTGTGATCCTTTCTGACCAGGCTGTCAAAGAATATTTTGTTGATTCAATGAGAATCAACAAAATATTAATAACTGATTATGTTGTAGTCAATGTCAATTTGTATAGTAAAATTAAACCCGTTGTTGTTGATGATTTAGTCAGATAAATACTTTAATCAAGTTTAGTGTTTTATTCTTCCCTCATAAGTATATATACTATAGATTGTTTTAATTTAATTCATTTGTTAAAATGTATTTTAAAGTTTTGAAGTTTATTTGCTTCTATTATAGTGTGAAATATTTGTCTTGCATTTGTCAGAAAAATGGCAACTTTTTAATGACATTACACTGGTGACCCATACTGTTGAATATAAACATTAGAATAACTGTTTGTAGATATCTGCTCATTTATTGGTTTATAATGCAGTTTGTCACTTCTTACCTATACGAGCATTAATCTTATTACTTTTATCAATGCTTTTGTCAGGACCCTTTCTTGCTCTTTACCCATAAGCCTAACATTTCTGAACTGGTGCTGGTATCTATAATGGCTAATGATTAATGAAGGTAGACTTGTGAAACTCTCTTCTATATTTAATACGCAGAGGATTCCATGTGATTGGCTGAAAAGGCCCATTGATTAATTGCACACCCATCCTGAATTCCTTGTGCTCTCTGGTTTCATTCTGGAGAAGTGATCAACATGTTCATCCAAACATTTCTGCTTCATCTGATATGACAGTGAGGACAGTGAGGGATGAAATTAAAACATGATTTAAAGAAATTGAAGAAAAATGAAAATGAAACAGTTTAGGTCAAGTTGTCCTCTTTCAGATGATGATAAACAGAGTGAGTTTGCAATTTTAGTAATGATTAGTAGCAATAGTGGAGTGAATTTAACGTGGGGCCTGACATAAACCAGCTGCATCTTTTACTTGCATTAAACAAGAATGGAAAAAAAAAAGAGAAATTTACACAATATTTAATTTATTATAATATAGTAAGTGTTACAGAGTTAAATCGTTACATAAGGTGTGCGAATTAATTTGAGTCTACTAAAAAAAATCCCCTACATGTAATCCCAACTCGAGTGGTCTGAACAAGCAGTTTCATATTGAGAAATGTTGTTGATTTGTTCAGTGTTTGTCAGCTCCCAGCATGCATTTTTGCATAAATAATGCAGTTAGTGATCAAGTATTGTTTTGCTGCTTGCTGTCTTTATGCTGCTGTTGTTAATGTTGTTTTTGTTCATCTGTGTTAGTTATTTGTTGGGTGAGGTCATTTTTTTTACTCATTTGATGTATGCAATTATTGAGGTTTGTGTGTCGACTTGAGGCCCATGACTTGCATTTTTAGTAGGCCTTATTCAAAGAGTTTTAGGTGAGCAGACCTGAAGTAACGTGGGCACATGTATATGATTAAATGACACCTGAACACATAAATTGTCTAGAAATCTGAATAAATTTAATTGTTATGCAGAGGCCCATGAGGGACATTTAGGGAGCACAGAAGCACAGCACAATATCATTAGAGGTGTGAAATGACCCAGTGGCTGCTTTTCCTCAGTCCTGTCACAGTCCATCACCTCCTCTTTACGCCTAATAGAGCCGTAACTCAACGACATAGGAATCTCAATAAAGCAAAGCCACTGGACACCACTTCAGGGACAACATGGAGGACAAAAAAGTCACTGTTTTATACAATGTCAGACCAACTGCACACCTGTAGGTATATTTGAATTCTCCAATTACAAAATACAGATGGTGGGATTGCTGAAACTCAGTGCTGGTAACCTGAAGGTTGCAGATTTGCACAAAGTGGTCATACTGTAATATACTGGTTGTTCATAATGTAAGTTCAGCCTTTTTCACCATTCATGGGCGTTTAAAATTAGGTGTGTTTTCTGGTGAATTTTGCTGCAAGCAACATGTATTGGTAATATTTTATATTAATATTTTCTTTAGTAAATTTTATTATTATTTATATTAGCGTTTCATTTTCATTTTGTGCAATATTTTATTTTATTTGGTAGATAAAGACTATGCACATTCTTGTTGTGCCATCAGTCAATCAACATTATCAATATGTTTCAATATTATTTGGCTTAAATGTTTTTAATGTTGTTTATATGTCTATGTGGTGTTTTTAATATGCTTTAAGACAAACAATGTGCAAATTCAAAAGTTAACACCATTGCTGAGTAATTTCTCTGTCTTTAAAGACAGTCTCAAAAACGTGGTTTGACATCGCTGGCGTTTCTGACATCACAAACCACCTTGTAACCAATCAGGTCAACGTGTGATCGTCAACGAGTGGATCTCTGAACTTGTGTGAGTGAGTGGAGGCGGGGCTAATTTGCATATTCATAGAACCACGTATACTAAATGAGGCAAGGTGTAGAGTTAAATGCAAGCTATTCTAAGACATGAAGAATTTTTTTTTCAAAGGAAAAAAAAAAGTTTAAATATGTCATTGTGGTGATCAAAGATGAGTTTTAAGGGATACAATTATTGATTACAGGGAGACTTTAAAAACATTCAGTGAAAACATTTCAAATTCTTTACTTCCAAGGGTCCTAAGCACTCGAGCAACTGCTATTTAGATGAATGTAAATGCTTCCTGCAGGTATTAAGGCCCAATCACACCAAGGACGTAATAATAATAATAATAACTATAACGATATAAATATAACGATCTGCAAATCCCTCTAAATGTAAAAAAAAATAGCAGAGTCCACACCACAACTATAACGATAACGGCACAGATAAACGATATAACTGGAATCATTTTCAGAATGATTTTTTCTAGCTGATAAACGATAAAAACAATGACGGCCAATCAGATGCCACCAGACTTTAAAGAGCATTTAAAGCGGCAGACGACAAAACTGCAGCGCAGGCATATAATAAACGTTATTGTCCGCTGGTGTGGACACTAATATAGTTATCATTAGTTAGATTTATAGTTATTGTTCTTGGTGTGAACGGGCCTTTCCTGTTCACAATCCGATCCCATAAGAAGCGACCTTTGAGATCAGCACTTAACCCGGGTTGCTTTGGGCGAATTGTCCACATAGTGGCCCTCATTTATCATTCTTGCGTAGAAACGGGTGTATATGTTGGCGTAAGATTATGCTTACACTCCTCTCACCGCCTGATTTATGAAGCTGTGCGTACCTTTGAAATCCAGGTGTACGCAATACCTGCCCTTGATAAATCCCACGGCTGAAAACGATCGTCATTAGAATAACACGCTCCTATATATTCAAGTCTCCGCTCCCCCCACGCCCTCATTTTACGCCATGGACACACGGAAGACGGTAAAGAAGAGAAACTTCTCTGACGTGGAGCCGAAATGACCTATCACAATGCATTATTTTACAGCACGTCTTTTGAAACAATTAGCATTCAATTTCTAATCACGTCACATGTATTGGGGTGTACAATAGTGATGATGATGATGTGATGTGGAGTACCATTCATTCACATTAATAATTGCATGACAATTTGTAATATTCTTCTTCTTATTATGATTTTTATTATTAATGACGATTATTGTTATTTAGAAGAAGAACGTCATTATTATTATTTGTATTATTATTATTATTTAAAAGAAGAAGAATGTATTTTTTATTATTTTGTCAGTCTGAATTATTTTTTGGTCATTGAAAGCCTTTCATTACCGAACCCAGTCCGTGCGCACCTGCCGGGCCTAACCATGAAGCGTCAGGGTAAAGCGCACAGGCTCGCAACTGAAGGAATACATATGGCTACAAATCAAATGCTTTGGTAAAGTCACACAAATTAAACATTGAAGTCCATGTTGCACAAAAATAAACACTGAAGATTATAATTACTATGTTGTTGTTTTTTACAGTGGGTCATAATATATCATATCTTTTAGTTTGTCAGTGCGTTTTGTGGTGTTAGGAATTGTTTTTCTGCGCATTTCCGCACTAACTCAAAACGTGCGTACACCACCTCCTGAGCTGGCGTAGGATTTGAGCGTGCCATTCGCCAACGTCCATATTGATAAATCTCAAAGTCACCGTGGTTTTGGGTGTACGCCAGGTGTACGCTGGAAATTTGGTGTACGCACTTTTGATAAATGAGGGCCAGTGAGTGTAGTTTAACTGCTAAATTGTTACATACTCTGACCTTCATGATGGAAGAACTGGAAACTTCACATTTATTATTATGACATTCATTACAGTCATTCAGTTACCGAGTATTCCACATCTATTCAGTCATTCTTGGCCCTTATGAATGTTGTTTACTTCGCAATTTTAGCATGTGCATTTTCCAGACAAGAACAAACCATCATTCGTATACCAGTAATGAGTTTCATCCAAGGTCATTCCACTACATCAAGTCTGCACGCAGTTCCCTCCAATGAGGCTCTTTCATCTTTGTTTTCTACACACTGTGCATTGCTGTTCTTTATAGATAACAGCATAACCAGCAGATTGCAACTACAGAAGTATTGTAAAACAAACGCAAATGAGGATTTATCGTCTATGAAGCAAATGAGGGGAGGAGCCTGCAGCAGATGTGCATGGACACAGATGGGGAGACAGACTTACTCT